AGGGAGCGGGCGGGCCGGGCCTCGGCGTGGCGGGACCTGCGTCGGCGCCGCACACGTGCCGGAGAGCAGAGCGCCCACTCCTGCTGCGGCCGGGCTCCGGAGTCGCCCCAGGGCTCGGCCTGGCGCGCGCGCGCGTTGTGCCCCGTGTCACGTCACGCGGACTGCGCGCGGAGGAGTGGGTGCCCCTCGGGAAACTTGGCGCTCGTCCCCGCGGGCCGGCGCGCTCCCCTGCGGCCCCAGCGGCTGCAACCCTGCGCCCCGCGCCGAGCAGAAGGACTCGGTGGTGGTGGCCTGAGGCGGCTGCAGCCTCTCGCTGGAACCTTCCCAGCATTGTCCTCTGGTCAAAATGCAGCCTCATCTTACCAGCCGAGAAATTAATTTCCCCTGGGAACAAGTAGTGTTGGCGCTGTTGTTGGCTCTGGTGGCATTGAAAGGGCTGTGGGATGCTGAAAAGATTCGGACTCTATTCCAAGTGCTACAGCAAGCTCATAAGTCAGTTTAACTTCGTGCTGACCAGTCTTGCTTCCTGCAAGCCCTGTTTTCTCCAAGCTACAGCTGTGCATACTCAATTAATTGTGCATACTTTCTGGGTTTCTCTGTTAGTACCTTGGCTATAATTTCATAGGTATCACCAGGATTGAGGCTCCCTGGTAGAGTGCTTGAAGCCATAGGTTTAATCCACAGTACTGGGTGGGGAGGGGGGAATTAAAGGTTAATTCTACAGGTGGGATTTGCTTGAAGCTGAAGGTTTAATCCCCAGTACTGAGGGAAAAAATAAAAGGTTAATTCTACAAGTATTGTGTGTAGGATTTGGTGTGTTTAAATTTGGCTTATGTAAAAGGGTTGAATTCACAGTGACAGTATAATTAAATGTTCTTTTCCTTCTAAGTTAGGAAAGAAATATGCACATGAAAAAAGAACATATTGGAGTTCCTCTGAGGCCAGCTTAGTGCTCCCGGTGCATCTGGACTCCACTTTCCCTGCAAAAATGCAGGGCTAAGTGTTTCTGTTTTGTTTTGGCTGGGCTGGAGTATACTTGAATTCAATATAGCTTTGTAGGCCCAGAATTGAAAACCTTTCTGGGTTGAATCCTCTTTCTGCCGTTGACTAGTTCTGTTACCTTGGAGAAGACTTGGTCTTCCTCTGGCCTCAGTTTTCTTTCTGGAAAAGGTGGAAAAGGGGTTAGGGACTTTTTCATAATTTTTCCTAAGAATACACCCCTTGTCAGCCAAGTAATGGTACTTTCTCTCCAAGTCTGTCAATAACACAAAATCGTTGTCTTGTACTTCAAACTTAGTTGCTTCAGTAACTCTTGATATCTTTGTTTAAAAAACAACTTTTATTTTTAAGAAAGGAAGATTTTTGGAATTTGGTTGTTGACAAAGTGTTTCAAATGTTTCTTTTCTTTTTTTTTTGTGGCTGCCATTATCTTCCTCTTGACATTCAGGATGACATTGGCATTTGAAAGGACTTCATCTCTGATCTAACATACCAACCTCCTTCTCAGTGTGAGGAGGAATGAAACTGTTCTTAGTTGTTCACAAATAAGTTCATTCTATATTTTGGAATTAGTTGATTAGTTACTTTAAATTTGTATGTTAAGGAGTTCTTATTTTTTTCTACTTAATATTTCTTAAGTTTGTGCCTCAGCAAGTTGATTTTTGTCTAAAGGGATAGGAATATTCTGGTTTTCCCAAACTCTAGACTACTACGCAAATATACTAAATCAAAATTTCTTGGAAAGAAGATTGATTTCAATGTCTGATAAGTGTTCCTATGACTCTGACGAGGCACGTTTGGTACTTAGTAGTCCAGATGATGCACCAAAATGTGGCTGGCCTGCATTACCAGCCTTGCTTGGGAGCTAAGCTAGCAGCCTCCCTGATTCTACCTGAGGCCTGTTGAATCAGAATCTGAATTGTAATAAGATCCTAGGTGAGCTGTCCATTTACTCTGAGGGGTACTAGAGTAGTGACAAGAAGATGATTGGGGCTATATTCTGGGCCTTCAACTGTGCCAGGTGGCTATTTATAAACTGTCTTTGTCTTATAATATTTCTGTAATTCACTTTGTCCAGGTGAAGGCCCCTAGGTTTAGGGACCCAAAGCCCACCTTACTGGTGGAGCAGGCATTCACAACCAAGTGACTCAGGGGAGCTCTTAACCTCTGTGCACGATGTACATGCTGTCTGAACATCAGACTGAGTGTGGTAAGACAGGCTTGCACCATAGGTCTTTGAAACACTAGTCTGGTGTGGTCTGGGCATCCATGGTTGGTTCCTTATTTGGTATTTGTTGTAAAGGTTTTCTTAAAGATTGGTTGAAGTATTGTCAGAGGCTGTAGCAGTGATGTTCAGGGAAAGCTTTTAGTGTTGTGAGTTGTTTGAGGAGTGGATCACTCAGCTATGTTGATATCTTAAACCTCCATTTCCCAGAAATTCAGGTTCAGTGATTTGGCAGCAGTCTTAGAGAATGGGAGGCTGCAGAGGCTTGGGTAACAATGTACTCTTGCTTCTTCCCAGGGATATGTGATACACATCCTAAGCTCCAGAGTGTTGCCTTCCACAGAACCCAGTGGCACCATGAAGTCCAATCCTGCCATCCAAGCTGCCATTGACCTCACAGCAGGGGCTGCAGGTAATCCCAGAAAAAAATCCTTCCTCCTGTATTCCTGAAGGAGCTTCTCAGAGAAAACAAATGACGTGGTTTGGAAACGCCCCCCCTTCTCACCCCAGAATTAATGTACTTTAACCTTAAAATGAATCGATATAAAGGAAACGTGATACTGTTCAGAGCATGATAGAATGTACCTAATTATACTAAAACATTAGAAATTAGAGTAATAAGTGGGAATGCCCCAAGTATTTCTAGAAAACACCTCAACTCAAAGATGAAGATGTGTGTCTGTCATTACATATCAGGATATGCAAGTGATATTGTGGCTGTGTGAGGGTGTGCCATATGTTATGTGGGTACCCAAGGAGCCCAGAAGAGGGTATCAGATTCTCTGGAGCTAGAGTTATAGGTGTTTGTGAGGCATCTGCTGTGGGTGCTGGGAACCAAACTCAGGTCCTCAGTACCTGCCAAGCCATCCAGCTCCCCAATTACCATTCTTACTGATGCTGGGAAAGAAAGAAAAGTCCCCTTTTAGAAAAGAGACTGAGCTAGAGTTATAGGTATTTGTGAGGCATCTGGTATGGGTGCTGGGAACCAAACTCAGGTCCTCTGTAACTGCTAAGCCATCCAGCTCCCCAATTACCATTCTTACTGATGCTGGGAAAGAAAGAAAAGTCCCCTTTTAGAAAAGAGCCTGATATTCTATCCTGTCTTCTAGCATGAAAGAAGAGGAGGTAGACTCTGTTAAGAATAGGAAGTTGAGGTTGACCGTCAGATCCTGAACCCAGGGCAGATTGGAGTCAGCTCTGGTGGCATGAGGCCACTGTAGGAAGGCCACCTCTCATGTGGAGGCATGGGAAGAAGCTAGTCTGGGGGCAAACAGAACTGGGTGCCCATTCGGTCATTTTGTTTTTCATAGTCCTGTGTCATCTTCAAGAGAGGAGTACTGGAAGGCATGTATTTGCCAAGTGAACCCCTGGTCTGCCTTAGCCTCCTGTATGGATTCCTGCAATTGGGGAGGCCAAAGTAGGATGTTTCCAGGTATTCCCTTACCAGATGAGACCTCTTGGGGCTACAGTTCAGGTGTAGACAGGGGGCAGGCACCTCTCACTCTGTCCTTTGTCCAGTTGTAAAAAAAAGTTGTTCAGAGAACATTCTCCTTCCTCCCCCCATGAACCAAAGGTTAGCCAAAGTAGGCTCAGAGGAAGTCTTGATAAGGATCCCTGGGCAAGGGAACCTCTCCCAGTTAGATACAAGGAATGTACCAGTCTGATGAGCTGGTCTAACTGCTGGCTGCATTGCACCCCAATGAGCTTTAGCCACTGTGTGTCTTGAAGTCAGTCCCCCATACTGTGGAAGAGAGGAGTAAGTTCCTGGGCCCTGTTCCCTCCCCTCAGCCCCACTGCATGCTGTGAAGGATGCTGACTGTACTAATGGCAAAGACATCTGCCTCTGGCTAGCACAGAGCACTTGGGCACAGTTCTTGCCTCTGAAGTAGAAGGATGTATAGTCACTTTAGAGTCTCAACTTTGGACATTTTATGTCCTTCAATTAGTCTATCCAAGTTCTAGGCTTTATTGTAATAGTTTTCAAAAACTTACCTTTCCCTGTTTATGTGCATTCAGATATTTAAGTGACACACTTATGTGTTGCAGTCAGCTTTTATGTAAACTACAAGAGGACTGTCGGGAGCCTTTAGAAGATTCTTGATGGTGAGCAGGTTTCTTAAACAGTGATCATGTCTGTCTGGCTCTTCTATGTATTGACACTCAATGTTTCTTCTGATTATGGGTAGGGATCTCTCCCTCAGCTTAGCAACACATGGCCACCCCTCTGTCGCAGAGCTGCTGGATTCTCTAATTTCTGCTCACAGATAGCTCCTTGGCAGAGGTAGGAGCTTTATGTGTTGAGGACTGAGCAAAAAGATGTTCATGAGTTACCTGAGATTCTGTGTTCTACCATGAGGCACCTGAAGTGCAATCAGGAAGTAGTAGTCTCACTTTTGAGGTTTCTAAAGTCTGAATGATGGAGCAGGCCTTGGCCGGACTGTTGGCACCAATGTTTTCTGTATATGTAGAAAGAGTCCCAGATAGGGTTGGTACGTTGGTTCAAGGCTACACATACCACAGTGTGAACTTGGGTCAATGACATGTTTTCCTGGCTCCTTGTTCAGTTTTGTTGTCATCTTTGTTTTAGTTTGGAGATTTTGCTACCCTGGCCCTAGGCTCGTAAATTGCTAGGGTTTGGGATTTTTTTCCACTGGAGCAGACAAGTGATTCATCTGCAAGTGCAGACTCAGCTATGGTCAGTGGGTCATGATGAGGTGTAACTGTGTTCTTTGTGTCTCCTTTTTCTTCTACACAAAGCTTTCCCCACCAGACAGGTTTCCATCCAGCTCATGTCTGCCAAAGTGCCAAAAATTTGCCTTTGGTCCTGCCCATACTTGCTTCAGAAGAGGTTCCAGGAAAGGATCCCGGGGCAGCTAGGATAAGGGAGTTTAAAGCAGAGTTAGATCATTGGGTAGTTATTGAAACAAGGCAATGTGGATCCTAGAAGTTGAATCATCTTAGAAGTCTGGTTAGTGCTTAGACCCAGTAGTTTGGTATCTCCCTCATGATAGGAAAACGATACTCTGGCAGCTCTTGCAGTGTGCCTCATTAACTGGCAGTGTTGGGGGATGGGGAATTTTACAGTATCAAAGCTATCTTCTTAATGCCAAAATGACAAACATCTCAAAACTCATTTTTGAGGGGATATCTTAAAAGTGAGCCTGCCTGCCCTGTGAAGCCATATTGCTATTGACTGAGGTTTGAGATTCACCTGCTTGCCCTCCTGTGAACTGTCCCTTCCCTGATGAATGACCTCAACACCTTGTGATTTGCTGCTTCTGTGTTAGGACTGACAGTGTGCTCATGACTGAGGAAATTGGCTTAAGGGAAGGAGGATTTGCTTCTTTTCCTCTCCTTTCCCTTTGTATCCCTTCCTGGACCCCAGCCTCTGCTGCTGCCTACATTCAGAGGGGGTCTTCTCCGTTTAGTTAATCTTCTTGGAAATTTATATCGAGATGTACTTTATTACTCTCTCAGGTGCTTCTCAATGCAATCAAGCAGACAGTCCAAATTAACCAGCACAGTAACTATTAGTTAAATGTTGAATATGGTCTGGTCTCAATACCTCTCCTGCAGAGTAAGAAGCATCTGACTGAGATGTAAGCTAAAGAACACAGAGGCCCTTTCATTTGAACTTCAAGAAGAGAATGATCAGAAATCTGATTTCTATGAAAGTGGAGACTCCCTGCAATTGTTCCTGGCTTTATTGACATGTTGTATCTGAGGGCTTGCTTGGCACTGGGCTTGCTGGCTGGGCCGAGGCTGGGTACTGGACTGAGTTGTGTGGTGTACACTATTGGGCATTAGTTCCCTTTCATTTTAGGAGGGAATTGTTTGAACATTCATTAGCCTGCTACTTTCTCCTGAGTAGACATAGAACCATCACAGATCCACAACAAATGCATATTGCAGTCACTTTGCTATCTACTCCATTCAGGCTGAGTGAGTTAACAACGAAGTTCTTCAGCTAAAATGTTAATGGACTGAGTAAAAGGCTTTATTCAGGTTATCTGCACCCAGGTTACCTAAAAGTATGCACGCTAAAAGTCTTGACAGTCATCTGGTTTCTTTGGAATAATTTATTTACTTTGCTATATTTTATCCTAGCCCCCGTAGTACATAGGAAAGAACAATTCTGATTAGAGGGAAAAAAATCTTAATTTGTTATTGTTGTTGTTACTTTTGCTTTGAGACAGGGTCTCACTAAGTAGCCCAGGCTAGCCCAGAACTTTCAGCCCTGCTTCCACCTCCAGAGACCTGGGACTGCAGGCATGTACCACTCACTCTGTGTAACGTCTCAGTGAATTATATTCCACTAATTCAGAACTGTGGATAGTCTGGCAAGACAAGGTGAAACCATATTTCTCTCCTAGAAGAAGCAAACAATAGTAAGGGAATCACAGTAATTATTCTGGTTGTTTGATAGACTAAGTAGTTCTGACACTTTGGAAGTGACAGTTTATCTGACAATAACTAACTGAGTCATCCTCAGTGCCCCATGTCTCTATTCCTACAGCATAGGGGTCATAACTGTATATAATGCCAAAGTTGTGAAATTGCATTTCTTAAATATTTTATGTAAGCCTTCAGTTTTGATGAAGGTTTAGTGATCTGATCATGTGACTACCATGTTTCCTGACCTAAGCAGGGGTGTCTGATTTGTGAGGCCTTCAGGCCTTAGGAGGGAGGTAAATATTAACCAGCAGCCTGTCCTAAAACTTTGATCCTAGTCCAGGGTCTAGAGATATTGTGGGGTAGTCACAGTTTGTTCTTTTCCTTACGTTCAGAATTCTTACTAATCTAATGCAATTTAGAGTCGGTGTATTTGATAGTTTACAGTGTGAAAACAAATACAGGATTTCTGCTAGGCACCGGTAGACTTTAGTCTGTTTATGCTAAGCAAAGGTAATTGTAGTCTATTCCCTAACTACAAATTGTTAATTGGTAGAGTTAACATTAAGGAGCTTTTTCCATAGAGCCAAATGTTTTGTCCTCTAGGGATTAATTAGTCAGGCTTCTTATTTCCTTTATCTGACACTTGATGCTCTAATATATTTTTTGATAGTCATCATACTGTGGGGTATTGGACAAGGAGGAGTAATTGTCTTTTGTCAGTTATTCCCACCCCTTCTGCATGGCTTCTGTCTCATACAGTGATTACTGTGTAGTGATCACTTGTGTAGCAAGTGTGTGCTAAGCCCTCCTCCACTTTTAAAAATATATTTATTAATTTTTATTTTATATATATGAGTGTTTTGCCTGCATGTATGTAAGTGCACCCATGTCATGCAATACCCGAGGAGGTCAGAAGAGGTTATCGAATCTCCTGGAACTGGAGTTATGGACGATTGTTAGCCAACATGTGGGTGCTGGGATTCGAATCTGGGTCTTCTGCAAGAACAGCTTGCACTCTTAACCAGTGAGCCATCTCTCTCCAGCCTCCAGCCCTTGTCCACTTTTATTTAACCTCACTGTGAAGTGGGCATGGATAAAGAACAGAAGCTCACAGGTATATCCCCTGTCCAGTAAATCAAGGCTCCAGCCCACCTCCCTCCACTGCATTGCTGAGTCCCTAAACACGAGCTGTACCCTTGCACCTGGGACTTGGATTGTGGCTTCAGATGTCTGTAAGCATGAATCTGTTCAGGGTGGTCCTCATGCTGAGCACCATAGGCACCTGCTGGAAGTTGATTACTGAACTTGACTAGAAAATTTGGGGGGAAAGCAGAAATCAAAACACAGGTAAGCCATGGACAGCAAGCCACCTGCCCCTCATGTTCATGGCTGCAAACTTGTGCTAAAGACTCATGTCTTGCTTCCAGGGGGCACAGCATGTGTACTGACTGGGCAGCCCTTTGACACAATGAAGGTGAAGATGCAGACATTCCCTAACCTATACCGGGGCCTCACCGACTGCTGCCTGAAGACCTACTCCCAAGTGGGCCTCCGTGGCTTCTATAAGGGCACCAGCCCTGCACTGATTGCCAACATTGCCGAGAACTCCGTGCTCTTCATGTGCTATGGCTTTTGCCAGCAGGTGGTCCGGAAAGTGGTTGGATTGGAAAGGCAGGCAAAACTGAGGTAAGTGATGACACAGGCACTCTGTTATTTTTAAAATACAGGAACTCTGTTGATTTTAATGACATCTGAGGAAAAAGGTTTCCTTTCTAAAATAATTTACCTTCTTTTTGATTCTTATGTCTTGTACTGTCACAGTATAAACCGGGAATGGCCAAATGCATTGTGTAAGAGTCTTGCCTGTTGTTCACCCTGTGTCTTGGTCCTTTTGAGAAGATGCTCCTCAGATGGACAGAACTGCTGGATTAAAACTATGCATGTATCTTGGGATCTAAGCTGTAGGTTCTCTTTCATCAGCAGAGAGTATTGGAAGAGGTTGACTGGCCATGTTAGAGGAGAAATTTGGAACTTTAGGAAGGTACAGATGAACCCACCTTTCTTTGGCTGAGCCTGCTCTACACATTCCATTTGTGCTTGGTCTTTTTTAGGGTGTCTGTCATTCAGAGACTAAACAGAATGTTTGTTTAGGGATGTTTAGCCATCCCTCCTTCAACATTAATTTATTTGAAATGGTTTAAAATTATTATATTGGGGGACTTTGTTAAGGGCCTGCCTTGCAAACATGAAAACCAGAGTTAGATTCCCCCTGCCTACCTGAAAAGCAGGACATGGTGCAGTGTGTTTGTAATCCCAGTGCTGGGGAGGCAGAGACAGGATAGCTGGGTTTCAGTGGCTAGCCTGCCCCACTGAATTAGTTAGCCCCAAGTTCTAGTGAGAGATCCTGTTTCTAAAAACAAGGTGGATGGTTCCTGAGGGCCTCTCCCCACCCCATGCATATGTGTGTATACATACCTGTGCACACACACATACATACACACATATAAAATTATATAGGTTTTGTACTTGCACAGGACAGTCTTGTTGGCTCTCAGTAGGAATTGGAACCTCTGTTGCAGTTACAGATTACTCACAGCTGAAATATATTTCCTCATGCATGGAAATGTGTTCTGGGGGTGCCTAAAGTTCAGATGTGCCATTTTTAGGCAGGAATTCTATCATAATGGATAGAATTTAAAAGCTTGGAACTGAATAAGATAGCTCTAAGGAGATAGTGTAGGACAGAGGAGGGCTGAACTATGATCCGCCAACCCTCTGGCACAGAAAAGGCAGGAAGCAGAGTCAAAGAAGAGCTACGGCAGGAGGCCAAGCAGGAGACATCCCACAGGGGAGACTGAGCAGAAGGAGTTTAGGCTACTAGCTTTCTCTAGCTGAGGGAGTCATTCTACCTTACTTAGGACACCTGGGTTCATCCCCCTCAACTTCCTTAGTGATGGACAACATGGGAGAGCAGCCAAGGAGACAGTGGGCACTCAGGTGAGATTCTAGTAGAAGATTCTGTGCTACCGTTTGGACAAAGTAGCCCTTTCTGGCCAGAGAACACAGACAGTGATGGAAGCAAACCATTGGTGATCTGGCCCTACCTGTCTCTCCTCTCCTGTTTTTTTTTTTTTTTTTTTTTTTTTTTTTTTTTTATATGCATTTCATATAATGCATCTTAATCATATCTAGATGCCTTCCCCTATCTGCACTGCCCCCCACCAAATTTCATGCATTCTGCCATATATGTTAAAGCCTACCAAGTGTGAGTTCGTCCACTGGAGCCTGTTCAGCCTGTCTAGCTCCTTTAAGAAGATCAACTCTCCCTTGCCCAGCAGTGATCAGCTGCCAATTGTTCCTCGACCAAGTCTGGGGCTTTTTTCCCCATTTCCCCAGTTCTATGCTGGGATTTTATCTGGTTTGAGTTTGTGTGGATCTTGTGCATGCTGACACCATTGCTGTAAGTTCATAGGAGCAAGTGCCCAGAAACCTGGAAAACTGTTTCCTTGTATTCTCTTTTGTTTTTTTATTTGAGGCAGAATCTCTGTGGAGCCCGGGCTGGCCTGGAACTCATCGTCACCCTGCCTCAGTCTCCCACGCAGATGTGCATCCCCGCTGTTGCCTAGCACTTTTATGATGGAAGACAGTAGGATACTTTGCAGCTACATTTTTCTACACTGTCTCCAGCAGCTGGAGTTGGTGTCATTGAGAAAGGATTGCAAAATGCCTCATTGTGCCTCTTGTGTGGGGCTTAGAACACATGTATTTCATGTAGTACCCATAGCATTTAGCTTTACACCGTACAGATTCTTCAGTGAAGAAACCAGCCTGGTTAACGTGATCTAACACAGCACTGGAATCCTTTCTGAGCTTGGATCTTTTCCCTTTTCACCCATAAGAATAGCATTTGCTTGTTACCTGCTGGGAGTATGCTGCTTAGAATCTATCATGCTCTGGCACGTAGGTCATATCTGTGTGGCCTCACCATGACAATGTGGAGGAACAGAGGAGGTGTTGTCATCTCTGTCTTTCAGATAGATAAATGGACAGTCATAATTGCTGGGCCAAGGACTCCACCAGTGTCATCCAAGCCCTCCTTACCCTTGGCCAGATCTTCTGTCTGGTAGACGAGTAGGGGTTCTGGTCAGCTCTGGAGAGAACATTTATCAAGAGCAGCAAAAGGAAGGAACTACAGAAAGTGCCTGTTACAAATTTCTGCAATGACAGAACAAAGGAGAAAAGCCAGTTTCATTCTGTTCACAGACAAAAAGGGTGGAAAGTGAGGAGGGACAGGTAGGGTCATGGCCCTAGTGGTTTGCTCCCATCACTGTCTGTCTGGCCAGAAAGGGCTTCTTTGCACAGAATCTTCTACCAGAACCTTGTAAATATTTGTGTGTTCTGTTGTGAACATGACCCAGTATACTCTTTTTCTTTGACCTTTGGCTAGTCTTATGTGGCAGGGGTGTTTAGATCATGTATTTTGCTGAATGGATGACAAACAGTAAATTCTTCCAAACCCCATCTGGTACTTAATGCACTTTCAATTCCAGTTCTACATATTCATCCTACATGTAGAACCATAGGCTTGTGTGCCTCATTTTGTACAGTGATAGATGAAAATATTTATTAGAAAGTCAGAGTTCATGGCAAAGCCAATTTGGCCTCACCCTTGCACTCTAATAGGTGCTTTGTATTTGTTCAGACTCCGGAACCATCCCTGTGTGTAGGTTGAACTGATTTCCATGTTTATTAACTGCTACCTTTGTTCTAGCAAACTTGGCACATTCTGGGTAATGACCCTAATTGACAGTTGCCTGTCAGCAGGTTGACAGAGTCCCCGAGAAAGGGCAAATATGTACCTGTAGGCTGGATGAGAAACAGAAGAAACCATTTTAAGTTTTGGCTTATGGCATGGGACACTTGTTGCAGTCATAGAAGGCTGGGTGCAAGGATGTTGGTATGCTGGCTGACTCTCCTCAGTTCATGATGGTAAGCTTAATTCTCTAAGGCCAAAAGAAAGTCCTCCGAGCAAGTAGAGTCCAGCCTCCTGCCAGACCCATAGCCAGCCCTTTCTTCCAAGTCCTGGGTGTGTAAGAGACCAGCTCAGCCCATGGATACCAGCTGCTGTCCGAGGCACAGAGGCTAGACCACCAAAGACTCAGAAACCAAGGCCAGAGCTGGAGGTGACCTTGACCTTATTCTAACATTTACTTGGTGCAACTTTGGAGCATGGAATGTAATGGATTCATTTGTGCTTTTGCTTAGTTTGGAGAAAAATTCTTAGGTGATCTCTCTACCCAGGAAAGTAACCTGAGGTGTTACCCCAAGGGCTTCGGGAAATCTGAGAGGGTGGTCTTAGCTCTCCAGTGACAGCAGGAGGCCAGCTCTTAATGGGTGAGTCAGGGAACCAGTTGAGTCTTACCCAGTAAAAGATTGTGCCACCCAAATGCCAGCAATGTGCCTACAGAATAGTGCCCCAGGATTGGATGGGGTCTTTTCTGACCTCCATGAACTCACAGAGAAGTCCTAACTTCCAGAGAAACTTCATCAGACTTATCTTCCATTCTCAAGTTTGTATTCAATTCATAACCTGATGGTGGCTGTGGCTAGTGGTACTGGACCTTTAAGAGGAGGAAATTGCATCTATTTTGTGTGTCTGTGTGTGTGTGTCCCTCTTTTAGATTTCCAGCTTAGCCATTCTACCTAAAACCACTGAGTATATAGACTTGCACTGGATTTACTGTTAAGGCTTATTGTGGCTTCCTCTTGCCCTCTGTGGAGCTGGGGAGGAGTTTTAATTCATTTTCTGTTTCTATAACAGAATACCTGAGGCTGAGTAATGTATTCAGACGTTTATTTAGCTCACAGTTCTGGAAGTATGAGAGCATGGTGCTGGCATGTGCTTGGTTCTTGTGGGGAACCTCTTGGCTACAAGAAAGCATGGCACATGGTTTCGTGGTGGGAATGTGTGAGCACAGGGCTTTACAGGATACCCCGGTCTCATGGGAGTTAACTGGAGTCCTGTGAGAACCACATTAGTTTCCTCTGAAGATGGTAGCACCCTTTGTGGCCCCGCCACCTTCCACTAGGCCCCCACCTCTTAAAGGTCCCATCACATCAGCACTGCCATACTAGGGACCAAGCTTCTAGCACACAGACCTTTGTGGGGGACACAAACCATCACAGGAGGCCATCAGCTTCACTGGAAAACCTTTTTGTGATCATAAAAATGTAGACTGGTTTTCATCTGTGGTGGTTATATTACACGTCTGGTTGTTCCAAGTTGGATTTGGCGGGGGGGGCGGGCAGGAAGGAATACTCTCATAAATATGCTAAGGTATTACTAGGGCATGCGTAATTTTTTCCTCTCTCCTTTTGGGTCTTTTTATTTTATTTTTTTTCTTTATTTCTCTGTGTCTTAGTTTGGCCTACTATTCAAAATACCATTGACTAGGCAGCTTAACTAAATATTTTTCTGGAGGCTACAGAATCCAAGATCAAGATGCTAGTAGATTCAATGTCTATTGAGAGCTCATATTCTGGTTCCTAGATCTGACTTCTCACTGTGTCCTCACATGGTACAGAGAAAGCAGGTTTATAGTGCAGGGATCCCATGATGTAGGCCTCAGGTCATGATCACATGGACACAGCAGTCAGTCTATTGCACTGCACCTGATGAAACAGCATGTATGTGGTAGGCAGGCAGATCAGGGTTTGATTCCTAGCATGCCACTCTGTGTGGCTTTGGGACAAATAAATTACCTCTAAGCACCATTCCCTCTATGGAGCTGTAGTACTATCGTCCAACAGGGTTATAGTGTCCTTAGATGGGACAGCACATGCAAGCTTTGCCACCCACCCATCTCTATGCTGAAGAAACAAATAAGCTGATGGTAAATCTTCTCTGTTCTTTCAGTGACCTCCAGAATGCAGCTGCTGGGTCCTTCGCCTCTGCCTTTGCTGCACTGGTGCTCTGCCCCACCGAGCTCGTAAAGTGCCGGCTACAGGCCATGTATGAAATGGAGACATCAGGAAAAATAGCTGCAAGCCAGAAGTAAGCATTGTTCTGCCACAGATGTTAGGTCTGTCTTGTATTGGTGTACTGATTTTTCATTTTATATTGTTAAAATTAAGCGACAGATATAGAAACAGCTTTATCTACTCTAAAATATTCTAGAGTACTTCTACCAGTCAGAGGATAATTTTCTGAATTACTCATAATTGTTGGACTCCTACCTCACAGGGTATCTTAGCAGATACTTAAGAACTCAGAAATGGGGAAGCCAGGAGCTGAATGCCCCCTTTGTTTTCCTGGGCACGTAAGGCGTGATCCTCAGCCATAATTATGGGACAGTTTTGAACTGGGTCTGAGAGCTAAGTGTGAATTTAGATTCTAGGATGAATGTTTGAGCCCTTTCTCAAGTTTTACGTGGGTGTTCAGGCTCATCACCCTGATCCTAGTGGCAATTCCCCCCCCCCAATCCTTCAGACGTCCCTATGGAGGGTTCTGAAAATCCTCTCAAAGCCCTTGTAAAGCAGAGCATCTCAATGGTCAAAGTACTATCCAACTCAGACTTGAAAACAGCTTTCTATTACCATGAGGATGTATATGCCACACAATGTGACTTGAGCTTGAAAGCAGTTTATTATCCTTATTAATCACAAACATGCTTATTGACATATGGCTGACTAAAGAGCTGTTCCAGGGCAGTGCTGTAAGGCAAAACCTGTAAATCTTCTGGGAAACCAGCCAACGGATTAAACACTATTATCAGTCTAGAATGGGGTTTGTGAGAGTGCTGTTGTCTGTACTCCTCAATTCATGCTAGCCATCTCAAGTCTGTTCTTCATAGCCTAGGAGTCTAGATGCGTAAGCCTTGGAAACTTGCTATTATTGAAATATAATATACCCACGGTACTGTGAATATATGTACCATTCTATAACTAGCCATGAAATGAATGGACCTTTGTAACCAGTGCCTGGATTAGTAAATAAAATATTAATAGCACTACTGCATATGCCTTGGAAATAGCTGAAAGTAATTTAAAGATAGTTATGTTATATCCAAAGGTCTCAGGGAGGTGGGCAGCTTATAAGCAATGCTCCCTGATAGATTATCCAATCCCAGGTACATAGAACTAAACACACATTCATATGAGCACCATTAAATGGACCCAATAGGTTGTGTGTGTGTGTGTGTGTGTGTGTGTATGTACATACATACATATGTAACAATAATAGGTAAAAAAGAGATCATGAAATTGAGAGGGAGTGAGGGTGCCAAGAACACACTGGAGAAACACAGCATCCATAGCAAATAGTGCTGGAAAAAGTGGATCTCCACGTGAAGAATGAAATTACACCCATACCTATCACCCTGCACAAAAGTCAACTCCAAATGGATCATGGGACATGGGAAAGGTTGGAGGGGGAGAGGGAAAGATGGAAACTATGTAAATGTACTCACATATGAAATTCTTAAATCTTTGAAGAAGGAGATTGAGGAAGACACAAGGAGATGGAAAGACCTCCTGTGCTCATTGATTGGTAGAATCAATATAGTGAAAATGACCATCCTACCAAAAGCAATTTACAGAGTCAATGCAGTCCCAATCAAAATCACCATGACATTCTTCACAGAAATAGAAAAAAAATCCATCTTAAAATTCATATGGAAACACAAAAGATCCCAGATAGCCAAAGCAATCCTGAGCACAAAGAGCAATGCCAAGGGGATTACCATACCAGACCTCAACTTATAGTATAGAGCCATAGACATAAAAAACAGCAGCATGGTTTGGGCACAAAAACAGACTTGTAGATCACTGGAACAAAACAGAAGACCCAAACATGAGTACATGCAATTACAGCCACCTGACATTTGACAAAGGTGCCATGAACACATTGGAAGAAAGACATCATTTTTAGCAAATGGTGCTGAAAAAATTGGATCTCCAGGTGAAGAATGACATTGTAGCATACCTGTTACCCTGCACAAAAGTCAACTCCAAATGGATCAAAGACCTCAATGTGAAGCCTGAAATGCTGAACTGTTAGAAGAAAACATAGGGCGTGCCTACAAGATGTAGGTGCAGGAAAGGACTCTTTAAATTGGACATCAGGAATTAAGGCCAATAATTGACAAATGGGACCTCATTAAACTAAAAAGCTTCTATACAACAAAAGAAACAAGCAATCAAGTGAAGAGGAAGCCTAGAGTGGGAGAATATCTTCAGCTATTCTTCCTACAGAGGATTAATATCCACAATATACAAAGAACTTAAAAAACAAAGAAGCAAGAAAACAAATGACCTAGTTAAAAGATAGGCTATGGATTTGAACAGAGAACTCTCAAAGGAAGAAATAAAACTGGCTAAGAAACATTTTAAAACACATTTAACATCCTTAGTAATCAGGGAAATGCAAATCAAAACTACTTTAAGATTTCATCTAACCCCAGTCAGAATGGCTAAGATCAAGAAAACAAATGACACCAAATGTTGACATGGTGGGATTGCAAACTGGTGCAACCACTGTAGAAATCAGTATGTAGAACTCTTAAAAAACTCAAAAAGAAGTATTGACTATGTGGGGTGTGGCAGGCTTGCATAGGCCCTGTATGGGAGCTCAAGACTGAGGCGTAGATTTGATACAGGCTTACCACAGCTCAATATTGTGTTGGATTCATTCATCATATGTCCATGTGGGCTGGGAACAATGCTGCAGGAAGGGCCTGGCTAGTGGAGAATGCCCAATGGGGTATTCTGAAGCTCTCAGAAGGAAGACGGCTGCTGTGGCCTTTGTCACTTCAGGGCTTGATTCATTGTCTCCCCAGCTGAATCTCCTGGTCTCTGGGAACAAAGTGAGGGATCCAGTAGTTACACTGATCATGTGGCTTTCTGCTTGTTCTCAGAGTATGTAAAACTTGCCACAGCTAGCACACCGCAGTAAAGAGGAGCCCGTGGGCTCAGCCTGTCTGGCATGGAAGCTACTCCAGGAGCGGTTTTGATCTATAAAGGGAGTTCCCCTGCACCGCTGCTGCTTGAGAACTTGTTCTCTGTGTCACCCCACAAGCTCAACTCTGAGGCCTTCTTGTCTTGCCTTAAAGTAACATTTGATACTTTGCTCATTTCTCTGCACTAAAGCAAAAAGATGTCCAGCCACCTGGACAAATGGTCATTACAGATCTAGAATCACCTAAGAGACAAGGCTCTGGGATGCACCTGTGAAGCATTGTCTAGATTAAGTTAGCCTCTGGCTGTGCCTGTGAGGGCATCAAGGGATGATCTTGATTAAGTCAATTGAGATAGGAAGATCCACCCCAAAGTTGGTGGTACCATTCCCTGGGCTTGGGTGGGTCCTAGACTGCATTGAAAAAAAAAAAAAAAAAAAAAACGAGTGCCTCAGGCCCCTGTTGCTTACCTGCCTGCCCCCCACCATGGCCTATATCCTCAAACTATGAGCAAAATGAATCCTTTCTTCCTTCAGTTTGCATCTTATCAGGTATTTTGTTACAGCAACAAGACAAGTAACTAATACATTAAAAAGATAGAAGAGGTGGGATTCCAGGGAGGTAGGGCACAGGGCAAGTTCAGTACTGTCACTTAGTACTGAAAGAAGAAAGTAATGTTTTCACATCTTGGACAGTATGAGATTTAGAAATGTGTGTTCAATCAAGCACGCATAAGAAAGCAGCTTGGTAAACAAGGTACCAAGAATTCAAGAATATAAAAGGTGTCCTTGGTAGGAAGGGAAACTCACAGAGAGGCGCAGAAAAAGTTCTAACAAATGTGGTCACCTAGCTTGTTCTTGGTAAAGAAATTAAATGGCTGTCTCTTCCCTGCCTGCACTGACTATCTCTCAATTTGTCTCTTCCCAGTACAGTTTGGTCAGTTGTAAAGGGCATCTTTAGGAAAGATGGCCCTTTAGGCTTCTACCATGGACTCTCAAGCACTTTACTTCGAGAAGTACCAGGCTACTTCTTCTTCTTTGGTGGCTATGAGCTGAGCCGATCGTTTTTTGCATCAGGGAGATCGAAGGATGAACTAGGTAAATGTGTTCACATTGACAGCATTTGTGTCTGGTAGATTCTGCACCCTGCTGGTGTGGTTTCTGAAGGTGGGTTACCTGTTCTGTGTGGACTTCTGCAGGAGTCCACCTGGCATGGGGGAGTTCCAGGAAGTCAGAAAGTAAAACAGCTGCAGGCATCGGCTCCACCTTCTTCCAAGGGGAATTTCCTGTAGACAAGCACCAAACTTCATTACTGGCATTAGCACTTTCATAACCACTCCTCCTGCCTCTGGAGTAGTGTTAGTTTTTCTGGGTCCATTTTAGGAGATGAAATATACAGATTATTTTTCCCATGGAGAAATAACAATCTTGGAATAAGATTTAAAAACTTGTTTGACAAATCACGAGTGTTAGGCCGGACATGATGGACTAAGCCTTTAGTCCCAGCACTTGGGAGGCAGAGGCAGGCGGATCTCTGTGAGTTCAAGGCTAGCCTGGTCTACATAGAGAGTCCAGGCCTGCCAGTGAAACCCTGTCTCAAAAATAACAACAAAGAAATCATGGGTGTTATTTTGAGAACAGTAGGAAGCATAGTTCTAGTTTGTCCCTGTTAGCTGCTCAACACAGCTCTGTGTGTATGCAACATTTGGTTTTCTTAAGTGAGTTAATTTTTCTTTCTTTCATTCATTTTTAAAATTTATTTTGGTTTTTTGAGACGGGGTCTCAGTGCAGCCCCAGCTGGCTTGGAATTCACTATGTAGATCAGGTTGGCCTTAATCTCACAGAGATCTACCTGCTTCTGCCTCTGGATTGCTGGGATTAAAGGCATGTGCCACGTACCGAGCCTTCATATCTTTTATTCATGTGAGTGTGAGTACACTTGCCCATAAATACACTTGTAGAGGCCAAAAGTGAACATCAGATGTCTTGCTTGCCCGTTTTACAGCGAGCCTGATTGACCAACCCTGAGATCCACCTGTCTATACCTCCACCACCCTGGGTTATAGACACATGCCACTACACTCAAATTTTGCATGCATACTACAGTCCAAACTCAGCCATCTCCCCAGCTCCCAAGTGAGTTAATTTTTCTTATGCATGTCACTTCAGTGTGATAGATCTATGCCGAATTTAGTCAAGTTCCCAGATTTAACTATGTGTTTAATAAGACATTTTAAATTTTTTCACAGTAGAGGAAGATTTGGGGCTGTTGGGAGTTAAAGTTGAGAATTTCAATGGCCTCTCTTCTCATTCCCTATCATATGAAGCCTGCTGGTTGTGGTTGGGCCAACCCTACTGGAGGATGAGGCTGGGGTGGGGGGCACAATACCACAGTGACAGGCTGTGCACAGCCCTCACTAGAGCTTCTGGCCCCAGGAAAACCCCAGACTACCAGACAGAATCCTGTGTCCAGTGTTCTCAAGGAATTGTGCTCCACAGCAATAGTATTTTTAGAGCCATAATGTCCACCTCTGGAAATGTCACCTAAGATGAAATGTTATTGGCTGCTTTCCCTCTCTAGGTCCTGTCCCCTTGATGTTAAGTGGTGGAGTTGGTGGAATTTGCCTGTGGATTGCTGTATATCCAGTGGACTGTATAAAATCCAGAATTCAAGTTCTTTCTATGTCTGGAAAACAGACAGGATTTGTCAGAACCTTTCTGAGTGTTGTGAAGAATGAAGGTGAGTCTGCCATGGATGGAAACTGGGAGCATATTTACAGTAATTGCTCTCCTTGAAGCTGACATGTCCAGATTTACTCAAACCCTCTAACTGCTCTTTTCTCCCTGTCTCATGTTCTTTTCCTAGCACTCTGTTCATATATGTGGCTCTCTGTTTCCAAACATCTTGATTTACCTTATTCTCATTCTGAAAAATGTTAAAATTCTTTTTCCAAACTCTGGGCCAGGTACCTGACAAGATTCTTTGTTCTAAAAGCCTCAAGGGAATTTTTAAGATATAGACTTTGTCTAAAGGGACAAAGAAATGTTTTGAAGCTAGCATTGCTTGACAGACATAATACAAATATCGAAAGATCCCAAGCAGGACCACCAAAGGCTTTAAAAGAATGTATTATATTCTTATAGCAGAACATTTAAAAGAATGTAGCCGGGAGTGGTGGCTCACACCTTTAATCCCAGCACTCGGGAGGCAGAGGCAGGCGGGGTCTCCGTGAGTTCAAGGCCAGCCTGGACTGCATAGTGAGTTCCAGGACAGCTGGGGGGGTTACAGGGGGCCCCTTTTTAAAAAAAAAAAAAAAAAAAAAAAAAAAAGGAATGTAATGCAGCATCCAGACTTCTGGAATCAGAAATGGTCTGAGCAGTATCTGAAGGTGATTTGCTATCAATTTTTAGAGTTATGCAGGAGAACAAAAACTTTCTAAGTAGTGTTTGTATGAAGTCAACTTTATGCAATCCAAAGATCTGTCTTTCCAGCATCCGCTATACATCTTAAAATTTGGGTTATGAACTTGTGCACTGCTTTTAAAAAGAGAGAGCACAGTAACACGGAGAAAAAATTGTTTACGTCATGTCCCAGGTAGAATATAGATGTCCTGTGTACAACCTCCCACTAATCCTTCACTCCCCCTGCGGGTTTGCCGGTCCATTCTAGTTTTGCAAAATGCACATAATCTTCTTATCTGGTCCTACCCCTGTGGCCATCCTGGGCAGAGCTAATACTAGAAACGCATCTTTGAGTTCATGTCCATTCTAGTTTTGCAAAATGCACATAATCTTCTTATCTGGTCCTACCCTGTGGCCATCCTGGGCAGAGCTAATACTAGAAACGCATCTTTGAGTTCAGTGTTGTGCTCTGCCTCTCTAGCTCCTCAGTTGCTTCCCTCTGGCCATGTTAGGCCTCAGCTCTGCCCTGTCCACACTGCAGGAGTCAGCGGGGCATGAATGCCTCGTTATCTGAGCATTCCTTGGCTTTGCCGGGAAGGCTGCTACTTGTTTTGTTTCTGTTGGTCTGTTGGAAGAAGCCTAGAAGTCAGTCCTTGGGTCATTTTAGTGCTATTGTCTGATTTCTGAGTGCAGATAATCCCTTTCTGTGCAGCCACATGGGTATCCTCACATGTGACACGTGAAGATTGATTGCCCTTTTGTCTTCTAGGAGTAACAGCCTTATATTCTGGACTGAAACCGACTATGATTCGAGCATTCCCCGCCAATGGCTCACTGTTTTTGGCCTATGAATATAGCAGGAAGTTGATGATGAGCCAGCTGGAAGCATGCTGAAGTGTCCTGGTGGGCCTAACTCCAACACCGGCATTTGGTGGCTGCTGTCAATCTCAGGGTTGCATTGAGTACAGGAACAAAGTGGAATTATTATTTGATTTCTTAGGAGCTTTGTCTCTGTCTTCCCTTCTTCTGCCCAAAACCTTAAACTTTGTGGAAGGACCTTATTTCACACATATAATTTCTGTCTATAATTGTGCCAAAAAAGAAAAGTTGCTGCTTTCGCCCTAACCTTATACCTAACCTGAAGGCCAAATGTATTTCTGTCAGAGCACAATTTCTGCATATATCTATAGGTATACATGCAACCTAGAGGGTTATATGTTGAGAAAAACACAATTTGGTTCTGTGTTTAATTGTAAATGGTGACCAATTTTCATGCAGATGGTTGTAAATGATCGCTTAACCCATCCTAGATATAGGACACCTGTTGTAAGTCTGCTGAATCTGTGCACTAGGAGGTTAAAGTGTTTAACTTTTTATGTGGTACTTGAAAGCTAAAATATCTACTTAGAGTTTTAGGAAAACTTATATGCATATTGGTGTGGCTTCCACAATATGATGAAATTTCAGAATGGGCATCCTGGATTTTCCCAGGATGCTCAACTTAACATAGTGCAATGCATTTTCTAGGTGGACTTATTATTCTATACTCTGATGACATTGCTAGGTGTGGCCCAGAGGTTCAGACCTCTGAGAAACAACAGGGCTGTCAACAGTTTCCCTTCTCTTCTGTCAGAGAGCTTCCTCCCCTTGCTCTGCTGTGCTTTGATGAAGAGTTGTGAAGCTGACAGTGCTCTCGCCTAACTCCCATTTCTGGATCCTGGCCCCAGCAGGAATCTAGAGTGTTCTTTGGTCCTGGATCTAGGGCCACTTTTAGCCCATTGTCTCTCTGCCTCCACCAATGAGAAGCTCTTCCAGGAAGCAAAGAGGAAGTCTTGGCTCCCTACTTTATCAAGTGATAATACTCATGGGGAAGCCATCTTCTCTCAAAACAGAAAAGAACTCATTATACACTACAGCGAGTGATGCCAGGGCTCATCCTCCTCCAGCTCACCTCAGGATTCTTAACTCCTTGATTTGCTTTTCCAGTGTCAGAGCCTTCTACATTTGGAACTTGCAGTCTGTGAATTTTAATGATGACTGTAGATGAGGATAACTCTGTAAAGCATTGTAACATAAGAAAAGCAGTTTTACTAAACTAAAACCCAATCCACATTTCTTCTGACCCCCACAGATATGGGATAGGCAGTTCTTTGGCTGTGTGGTATAAGAGGGTCTTATCACTGCAGATGTAAAGCTCATTGTACTGCTCCAAGACCAAAGGGTGGTCTCAGTGGGAAGTGTGCTTATTCTGCCTATAAAGCTGAAGAAAGTAGGCTGACCTTGTTAATGCATCTCTGCCTTGTGTGTCTGTCCCTGTTGACAGAAGGAAAATATTGGGTGAAACTCCCAGTCTCCTTAAGCTTTCTGCTATTGCCAAGCCTCTCGTCACTCTTAGCTATAGTGCCAGGAACATAAGGGTCAGCGAAGCAAGGTGCTGCCAAAAGGGGAGGAGATATCTGTCAGCATTCCTAGGTTGACTTTTTATGAGAAAACTGTCTTTCTATCTTAATTTTCTCTCTGTACTTAAATGGTCAGTAGCTACTGAGTGGTGCTTCACCTGAACAGACCTGTATTAAAGCAAAAATAGAAAACAGAACTAGCTTCCTGCAGGAAACTGGCCAGAGCCCAGAGTCTCCCTATCTGGTGCCTGGGAGCTAGCCCACATTAGCCCTTTTGGTAGTCTGTCTTCTCACAGGCCGCCCAGAAAAGGTTTCGTGAATTATATTCTATAGAAATAGAAACAAGTGGAAGTAAAGAATAGATGCCTAAGGAGAATGTTTTTTCATTCTATTGGTTTAATTTGTGATTCAATGTTTGGGTACAGTTGTACTTGAGACAAATATAACTTGAGATATTTTGTTTAAGAAATACGAGTGCTCTATATTAAATTATTTACCTAATATGAGTCTATGATGTTTCATTTAAAGACACATTTATATTAAAGGTCAATAGGAATGTTTAATGTTACACATATTAATATTTCAAAGTGGTGGCTGCAATTGGAGCAAGCATTTTTCATCAACAAGATTCGTGATGTAAAATAATTTTGCTATAAGCAAGTTGACAAAGCTATGTGTTGCTGACCTGCCAGACCTGTGAGCTTCACAATCCCAGTCTTTGCTCTTACCATCTCACACTCCCAGGCCTAGCTCAGGTTGCACAGCTCCAACCCCCCCAGACTGATGGGTTTCCTAATCACAGCATTCCGTCTCTGCCACACGCCCATGCCTACCACAAATGACACAGCCCCACACAGACTGGTGAATTTCCAAAACTTACATTCCATATCTGTCATCCCACACTCTCAGGCCTACCTTGGTTGTACAGCCTTCACACTGGCCCAGCTTGGTCAATTCTACAGATCCTCTCCTGCCCTTGTAGCCATCCCTACACACTCAGGCATAGCTAGGGTTGTATAGCTTTGGAATACTCAGCCAAGAGTTACATTTGCACAATTTCTGGATTACCACTGAATTGGAATCACCCCTACCATTCCTCTAATCAAAAACATCACTGACCTGTCTGTCTACCCACTCACGTAATAGCCACCCTGCTTATCCCACCGCTTCAGGGTGCTCTGCAGTCTGTCCTGGAATCCAGGCTGAGAAGCTGACTACCTGAACTATGATCACTTCTTATACCTCATTTGCACATTGTATGAGTCACTTTTCTGTTCCTGTGATAGAAACACTGACCAAAGCAATTTATAGAAGGAAGAGTTTATTTGAGCTTACGGTTCCAGGGGAATTACAGTCCATCATGGCAGGCAGGCATGGTGGCTGGACATGGCTGGAGCAGAAGCAGCAGAAGTGAAGCTCTCACATCATCACACAGGCACAGGAAGCAAGAGAGCAACTGGAGATCTGGCAAAGCTTCAGAACTCTGTAAGCCCACCCCCAGTGACATGCTTCCTCCAGGATAGCCACACTTCTAAAACATCCCAAAATAGCACCACTATCTGAGGACAAAATGTTAAAATACTTGGAGCCTATGAGGGACATTTTCATTCAAACAATCATATTCCACCCCCTCGCCCCCATAGGCTCATGACCATTTAAAATGCAAAATGCATTTAGTCCAATTTTAAAAGTCCCCATAGTCATTATCAGTCTCAATACTATTCAAAAGTCCATAGTCCAAAGTCTCTTCTGAGACTCAGGTAAATATCTTAAGTGTAAGCCTCTGTAAAATCAAAAGAAAAATTACATACCCCCAACATACAGTGGAACTGAATACACATTACCATTCCAAAAGGGAGGAATGGAGGCATAGTAAGGAAATACTGGACCAAAACAAGACTGAAAACCAGCAGGGAAAACACCAAATCCGGTAGCTCCACATCCAGCTTCTGGGACTTTACTTCCAAAGGTCTTAGATGGCTCAGCCTCTCTAGCTTTGCTGTGTGCAACACACATCTCTTGTGCTGGTACCACTCCCTGCGTGCAGGTCTTCTTGGCAGATGCCTCACAGCTCTGGCATCACGAATGTCTTCTTGGGGAATCCATTGCCAACCAGTCTTTACCTTCACAGCTTTGCACAATGGCCTATCAGGGCCTTCTCTATGTAGGAGAACCCCTGCTTCACACTGCCTGACTTTCATGGCTCTCTGAAACTGTGGAGGAAGAACTTGTGACCCCCTTCACTCTTCCATCTTTCATGCCTCCTAAAGCCAGCACCAGGTGAGCAACGCTGCCAAGTTTGACTGCAAGTTTGGGATGGACTCTACCCTGCTTCATCCATTTCAGAAGCTTTTCTCTTCAGTGGTCCCTGCAGCATTTTCCTTTCACGAGTTGGAGGCTTAACTGGGTGTGGTCTTGCCCTGGAGGCACTCTCTCCATTGTTTAAGTTTGAATCTCTAGGCCCCTCTCTTAATCACTTTAATTTCCTTAATCACTTTAATCTTATCAATGGGATCCTCTCCATCACATGCCAGGGCTCCAACATTAGTCTTCCTAGTGCTCTTTTTCAATCCATCCTGTACATTCTGTATTTCTTTCTGCTCCATTTGCCCTTTTTCTCTGTAAATCTGTATAATATTCACCACTAATAGCCATGCCACCATTTCTACATTAGGCTGTCTTGAAATTTCTTCTGCCAGAGAAATTAGTCCATGGCTTTTCAACTTAGCCTCAGGCAAGCTTTTTGGCTGTGGGCAGACTCAAGCCAGACTCTTTGCCAAAATATCCCAATTGCTGCTTAAGTCCTTATTTCCCTCTGGAACTACATTGTTCTCAGCACTACTTTCTCCAGGGGTCTACTAGAATGACCTGTTAAGCTCTGCTTACAGCAATCAAAGTCTTCCACATTTTTTCAAAACCCCACATGGTCAGTTTGTTCACAGTCAACAGCCCCTCTCTGGTACCAATTACTGTATTACTGACTTTTCTGTTGTGATAGAAACACTGACCAAAGCAATTTATAGAAGGAAGAATTTATATGAGCTTATGGTTCCAGGGGAATTACAGTCTGTCATGGCAGGGAGGCATGGTGGCTGGAGGTGGCTGGAGCAGAAGCAGCAGTAGCTAAGCTCTCACATCATCACACAGGCACAGGAAGCAAGAGAGCAACTGGAGATCTGGCAAGGCTTAAGAATTATCTAAGCCCACCCCCAGTGACATGCTTCCTCCAGGATAGCCACACCTTCTAAAACCTCCCAAAACAGTGCCACCATCTGTGGACAAAATGTTAAAATACTTGGAGCCTATGAGGGACATTTTCATTCAAACCATCATACACATCAACACTAAGTGGCCCAAGACAGATTGCCAACCATGGCTCAGCTGAACTATAATCTGACAAGCTGGGGTAACAGCAAACAAATAGCCAAACACCCACTCAACAAAGGCAATATATCCATACCAAGAAACACCACTAACAGAACTCCAGATGTCTAGGTCCCATCACAACACAACATGCATAACCAAGACAATATGTCTCCTCCAGAAATGAGCCCCATTGTAATGGTTAATGAGAAAGCAACCTAGCCAGTGCATAAGACAATGGTTTTGAAATAGCAATTATAAATATGTTCAAGAAACTCAGGATATGAATAAAAGACTGGAGACTGCAATAACACAGTTGAATGAAATAAGTAAAACATTCAAAATATGAAATTAGAATTTAATAAAGACATAGACACTCTGAGAAAAGCCAAACTGAAATAAAATTAAAAAACCTCAGGAAAGCCTCAACAATATATTGAATCAAGTGAAAGAGAGAATATCAGATCTTGAAGAGAAGGTAGAGGAAATGGATCACCTGGTTGTTTTTTGTTTTGTTTTGTTTTGCTGTTTTTAATCACCCAGTTTAAAAAAAAAAGTGAAATATAAAATAACCAAAATATAAAATAACCCAGGAAAGAAACAAGCAGGAACTCTGGAACACTATAAAAAGATCAAATCTATGAATTATAAGTATCGAAGGAGAAAAAACCCAGGTCAAAGGCACAAAAAATATTTTCAACAAAATCACAGAAGAAAATCCCCCAAATCTAAGGAAAGGATGCCTATCAAGATATGAGATACATAGAACACCAAATAGACAGGACCATAAAAGCTCCTCCTGTCATATAATAGTCAAAACTAAATGTGCAGAACAAAGAAGAGCTGAAGTGCTGAGAAAGATTAAGTCACATAAAAAGGCAGGCCCATCAGAATAATGACTAATTTTTCAGTGGAGACTGAAAGTCAGAAGGGCTTGGGCTAAGGTCCGATAAGTCATGAAGAAACAGATGCCATCCCAGACTTCTATATCCAGCAAAACTCTCAGCTGTAATTGAAGAAGAAAGAAAAACTTTATGATAAAACAGATTTAAGAAATGTATGCTCACTAAGCCAGCACTACAGAGGATACTGGAAGAAATACTTTTGTCTGAAGAGAATATTAAACACACCCACGAGGGCACAAGGAGTAAATAATTCCAGAACAGTTACCCAGAAGTCAAAGAAAACAGCACCACCACAACAAAATAACAGGAATTAGTATGCATTATTCAGTAATAACTCTCAGTACTGTCTCAAGTCCCCAATAAAAAGATACAGACTAACAGACTTGATTAGAAAACCAGATCCATCATTTTGCTGCCTCTTAGAAACCTATCTCACCATCAAAGATAGACACCATCTTACGGTAATGAGATTTCGAAAAAGGTATTTCAAGCAAACAAAACTTAAGATCCAAGCAGGCATAGCTCTTCTAATAGCTGACAAAAAAGACTTCAAGCCAAAGCTAGTGAGGAGAAATAGGGAAGCACATTTCATACTCATTAAAGGGAAAATGAGGATGTAACAGTCCTAAACATACTCTCAACAAACACAGGGGCATCCAATTTCAGAAAAGAAATACTATTAGATCTAAAATCAAAGATTGACCCCAACACACTGATAGTGGGTGACATAAATACCCCACTCTCACAAACAGACATGTCATTCAGACAAAAACTAAACATAGTAACTCTAGAACTAACATCATAAATAAAACGGATCTAACAGACATCTATAGAACTTTTAGTTCAGTGAGACACTAAAGAATACACTTTCTTCTCAGCAGGCAGCCTGAACTGCCCCAATCTGGGACTCATTTCTCTTCTCTGAAAGCAGTATTCTGGGCTGTTAGGACAGGTGATGAACCCTCTATGACTTTCTTCCTTTTACCCTTACTCCACTCTTCTGAGGGCATGGGTTGGCATTTATCTCTAGACGACTGTTCCTAAGGAACTGCTGTTCTCCTCTGACTTATTACTAACAAGAAAAAAGGAGCCACTCACTTTTAATCAGCTCAGAATATCTATTGATCCTCCCCGCTCCTTCATCAGATATACTACTCAGGAGCTCAAAGGAAAGCCCAAATACTAAGACTGGTGTGTTTGGGAGCCACATATAGAGGAATAGAATATGGTATGGGGAAGACCTCAAATTTTAAAGGTTTAATATCTAAAAATAAAAAATGAAATAGTTTTGTCTAAAATTAAAATACCTGATTGTACCAGAATATAAAAGGAGGCAGGAGAAGTCCAACTTGAGGATATATGGTGAATTGTAAAAGGCCAGAAAAGTGTAAACTTCATTTGCTTTGGTTTAATTTTGATTGGATTTCTTTACAAGAGAAAAAGGGATAATGATTCTTTGCTGCAAAATGTTTCTGTTTAAAATGGAATTATACTCTTTAAGGGAGGAGGACTAAAGCCCTGCACCATCCCAGGTTTATAATAGTGACTAATTCAAGTCAGTGTTACCCATTACATGAAATAATGTTCCATGTCTCCTTACTAGAAGATGAGACATGGAACATGCTGTTCTTGCCTTCCTGTACTCCCTTCATCTTCTGGTCTTTGGGGCTGGATGCTTCTATCTATTGTCAGAGACTTTCTCACCCAGTAGTCCTGCTAGCCTGATCAGGACTGAGTGAGTAATAAAAAGTCATAAAATGGAATGACACAGCAGACCTCAGACCATCCTGTTGTCCCTTCTTTCCCATTCTGGCAGCTTTTCCAGTTCTCACACTTCCCACAGATGGACCAGGGGGATGTTAAAATGAAAAACCCTGAATAATTATTAAACCTGGTAAGATACAGTGATCTTCAGGGTCCTTCCTCCTTTCATCTGTGGTTGTTCGGAAGCTGCTGCTACTGCATTTCTGTCTACTGGGAGTGCTTGTCTCTTGTGTCCTAGCATGGGTCCCGACCTAAGGTTGCTTTGAAGCTATGACTGTTCTGTGGGCTCCTGTATGTATGTACTAACAGTGCCCTAAACTCTAAGACAGATGCCCATAACTTTCCTCCATGTGATCAAATTTCCTGCCACCCTGTCTATAGCAGACAGATCAGTACCCACAACAACCCCCAGTTGTACTGTGAAAGAGGGAACAGAGTATCTCCCTCAGTGCCAGTTACTTAGTGCTGTGTTACCCAAAATGCTATAAATGTGTACAGGTGTTCTGCCAAACTCTAGCCCTCTTTTCCATCTGCCTTCTGTCCTGAATCCCAGCTTTCTCAGGGCCCTAAGAAAGGACATGCAGGACCTGTGGCTGGGATGATCACAGGAACTGCTCTGTTGCTGCCTCTAGGTACCCTGAAAAGGTGTCCACCATACACCCTTCTTTGAAATGAAGTCTCCACTATCTGTATCCCATCCCCATGTATGTTGCACTGGATTTCTGTCCTCTTCCAACACCTAGGGCCTCTCTGCCCCTACTGCCCGTGGCTGCAGTCAGTGACCAGGGGATCCAGGACCTGGGATCCAGGGCCAAGGATTGGACCTCAAGACAGGCACAGGACCATGGGGGCCCTGCACCTCTTCAAGCCCCATTTTCTGAAAAGTCTCGGGTCCTGACTGCTCCCATGCATTGAACACTTCACCTGACTCTTCTGACAGGAATCAGGGGGGCAGCCTAAAACCCATCCCAAACCACCAAGGTTCTTCAGAGGCCTCAGGAGTCCTTTTGATCCTCTGAACCCAGAGAACACCCAAGCTCTAAATTTGGCCTTTATTCAAAATTCCCCCCCCACTATTTGTTGACGCTCTTTAAAAGGACCCGACAAGCTTCAGAGCCCCTCATCCTGATTTGACATTGCTCCGGTATATATATGACCTCCTGTTAGCTGCTGCTGACCTAGCCACCTGCCTGCGAGACACACGGGAGACCTACTCCAGCTGCTCCAAGCCCTGAGGTACCATGTTGCCGTGAAGAAAACTCAATTTTTCCAGACAGAAGTCTCCTACTTGGGGTACAAATGCTCTTGGAGTAAGAGGACCCTTACTGCAGCTCAGAAGGAAGCCATCCTTCAGACCCTCTACACCCCAGACCAAAAAACAGGTATGCCAGTTCCTGGGGGCAGCAGGTTATTGTCAACTTTGGATTCTAGGCTTGGCTGAAATAGCAAGGCCCCTATACTCAGCCACAGCTGGGGAACAGCCCATAAAATGGACAGAGATAAAGGAACAGGCTTTCCAGTGGGTGGGCTTGGCCCTAACCCAAGCCCTAGCTCTGGTCTTGCCTGAGGTCCACCTTTTGATTCATGAATCCCAGGGGATTGCAAAAGGCATGCTTACGCAGACCTTGGGACCCTGGCAAAAGGCTGTACTTATCCAAGCACCTAGACTCAGTAGCTTCAGGATGGTCCTCCTATCTCCATGCCATAGTGGCTACTGTCTTACTGGTGAAAGAGGCTAATAAACTCACCTTGGGCCAAGACATAAGCCTAATGGGTGAATATCTTTAGACAGCAAATGTGCCTTTGCCGCCCTTTCATGTCCATGCCATGATCTACAAGGAAAGAGGACTCTGACATTTCCATGGCAGAAGGCCAAGTGGGCCAGCAGGCTGCCAGAGTCCCTGTTGAGCCACTCACATTCCCATGAAATGAAAAAGGGAATCACCCTTCCTACCTCCCTTGGTATTTCTGAACACATCCTTCAATTGGATGGAGGCCTTTTCCTCATGATGGTAAACGGCTTCCTATATGAGAATTCTCAGGTTTGGGCTGCCTCTGTCAACTGGCTCAGATAATGCTAAATTAATCTTAGAGACTGGTGAAGACTGACCAACCTCCTGCCCCTGGTCCTCCTCTGGATTAGATGTATTTACTATAAGGTGGGTTTCACCCCTTATAAGATTATTTTCAGAAAACTGCCTCCCCTACTACCTAGACTAAGGGACCCTATTCTGAAAAATTACTGCTCAGTCTCTCTTAAAGTATCCCCAGTCTCTCCAACAGGTCCAGGATACAGTCTATTTTAATGTCTGAGACATCTTCCTGGATCCCTCCTGTGCATTCTGCCTCCTCTACACTCTGTTCCAAAAGGAGAGAGAAGTCAACATTTCCTGGTTCCATTGCTGGTTTGTTTAGAATCCATGGCTGATCACCTTGTTTCCAGGCCTAACAAGACCTCCCATCCTTCTCCTCCTGGGTCCAATGATTGGGCCTTGCTTAATTAACTGATTGCTAAACTTTATCAAACAACAGATAGCCTCTGTCAAATTAATGTACCTGAGAGACCAGTACAACCCACTGTTACCTGAGGCTATCAAGTCAATGCTTTGACTCTGCCCTAAGACCTGGGGGTGGGGGGGTGGGGGGAGAATGGAATGAAATGGCAAAACTAACTCCATTTTGTTCTAGCCGACTTTTGCTTTACCCTGTGTCTTTGCCCAGTCATTCCCACTGCAGTCAGCCAGGCAGAACCTCTCATGCTGGCAGTTTCAGGGAGTACATTGTTTCTACAATACTTGGAAACTTACAAGAAGCCAGGTAGCATGTCCAGATAGCAAGTCCTCCAGCTATACCTGCATCTCCATGGAGGACATTGTTTCTACAATTCTGAGAAACAAGTTTCCCTAACTGAAACTTTTTGTTAACTGAAAATCTCTTTGTTACCTGACCTGCCCCTGGTTTGGTGTAACTATGGTGATCTGATGTAACTACGGTTATTGGCTAAAACTTCCCTGCTTCTAGTCTTCTCAGGATCAAGAGCTCTTTTGGGTGTTAGCCCCGCCTCTGACCACCGGCTGTTAATAAAGGACTCCTAATTTAACTATCACTATGTGGTGTTCCTCTGTGCCTCTCGCTCAGTATTACAATTTCAAAGTTCTTCAAAATGATATGTAATGTTCCTATGTATTCTATGTTCATACAGTATTTGCAGTATGTGCCTTTAAAAGAAAAAAAAAGCATCACCATTGACATTTTTTCCTGTATACATTTAATAGGTTTCTCAGAAATATATACACATATAAATATACACACACCAGCAGACATAGGTTAGAAGATATAAATATGTAACAGGGATTGGGAAGAATGTGATTCTATCCAAGAATGGATACTTTTCTGATTCAGATAACAGCTACTACATAGCTTGGGCTATTTCTCACCAAAATATACCTCTACTCCAAACTTTGGACCATAAATTTTCCATGTTTTTGATTTATGGGGATTATCCAATTCATTTCTTGATAGATAAAGCCTAAGGATAGGAAAGAAATCATTAAATTTTATTTTAGTGCTAACACAAAACCATGTAATAGGTCACCCTTACTGGAGCTTCAGAAAAAAAACCCCACTAATAATCAGAGCTTCCATGCTTCTTTTGTGTCCAGCCTCTTTGACTGGATACAAAAGAACATGTTGCTGATTCTTTTAAAATTGCATCTTATGGAATTAATGACATTTCTATGAGTGATAGAAATTCTCCAGAGACTAGATGTCTAATAAAACCCAGTAATAAAATATTGTATCTATTTTAAGAGAAGTTGTTGTTTTAGCTAACCTGCAATTTCCTAGCTATATAAAACACTTTACTTAGTAGTATGTAAAGTTAAATGTTAAAATAGGTTCAGAAACTTATGTAAAAGTGAACATAAAACTGATCTGATTTGGGGGCTGCAGAGATGGCTCAGCAGTTAAGAGCACTGGTGGCTCTTGCAGAGGACCTGGGTTCTGTTCCCAGCACCCACATGACAGCTAACAACCGTCCATAACTCTAGTTTCAGGGGTTCAGACACCTCTTTTGGCCTCCATGGGTTTGCATACATGTGGTGCACTTACATACATGCAGGCAAAACATTCATACACATAGATAAAAATAAATAAGTAAACAATCTAAAGTTGCTTCTCCTATATCAATATGGTGGTATAAAGGACACAACTGTATCCTTTGGCAAAAACCACTTTAAGAGGTAGCAACCAAGTCCCACAGCTCTCAAGGATTCCAGAGTCAAAGTTTGTTTGTACACATCAAGAAAAAAATGATCAAAATTTCCATCAAATCCAAAGTTAACTCTTGGACACCCAAGTATGTGTGGATTGCACATTTGTGGTCCACTTGGTTCACTTACTGGTGCTTTACTAGGCTTAAAGTGTTATTAGACCCAAATCGGGCTCGAAGAGGAGATTAGGATTAGAAATAACAATCATGGGGCTGGAGAGATGGCTCAGCGGTTAAGAACACTGGTTGTTCTTGCAGAAGACCCGGGTTCGAATCCCAGCACCCACATGGCAGCTAACAACTGTTCATAACTCCAGTCCCAGGGGATCTGACAGCCCCTTCTGACCTCCGTGGGCATTCCACAACATGGGTGCATTTACCTACATGCAGGCAATACACGCACACACATAAAATAAAATAATAATGAAATAAAA